TGGTTTCAAGCTTTTCAGCTGCAGTGACATTTTAGGAGAGAATGAGCAAAAGTGCATCTTTCAGTATACTGGGACAGTCCCTCATTTGCACAGAGACAATATCAAGAGCTTTGCTGATTCTCCCCATAGCATTTCTACATATTGGCCTGTGGCACAGTTATTGGTAGCAGGACAGGGGCCTACAGTGGTGGCCCCTGTGAGAAGCTTCTTGAAGCTCTCCTGACTCCAAGTTGGACCCACCTGTGTGCCAAGGCTGGGCCAATTAGTAATGGTGGCCACACCTCTGTGGTAACATATTTAAGAAGGGGAATCTGGGAGGAGGATTTGAGGAGGACACCTATGTGAGTACTGAGGTCAGTGGAAGAAAGGAGGATGGCAGGGAGAGGTGTGCTGGAGCAGAGATCCCCCTGCAGCCCACAGATGTCACCAGTGGAGCAGACGCCCACCTGCAGCCCGTGGAGGACCCCATGCTGGAGCAGGTGACTGCACCTGAAGGAGTTTGGGACTGTGTAGGAAGAAGCCCCCACTGTTGTAGTTCAGGGCTGGGAGGACTGTGTTGTGGTTTGAACTTGGCTAGCAGCCAAACACCACACAGCTGCTTGCTCACCCTCCCCTGGCCTGTGGGATGGGTGAGAGAATTGGAGGGATAAAGGGAGATTTGTATGTTGAGATAAAAACAGTTGAGTAACTGTAAGAAAATAAAGCAATAAAAATAATAGAAAGTATAAATGGGTAATGCACTATGTGATAGCTCACCACCTGCAGACTGTTCCTGGCTAGCAATCCTGAAATATCGAGGTCCCACCATTGCAGTCCTGAAGTAAGAGAGAACCCTCTCCTTCCTGGTCACCCCTCCTTTATATACTGAGCATGACAACTACATGATATGGAATATTCCATTGGCTAATTTGGGTCCAGTGCTATGGCTGTGCCCCCTCACAGCTTGTGTACCTGTGCATGGACAGGACTTGGGGAGTTGGAGAGTCCTTGATCTCTTAGCAATAACTATAAACATCAGTGTATTATCAGCATTCTTCTCATACCAAATCCCATACTGAATCCAAAACAGCACTATTCTAGCTACTAAGAAGAAAAATTAACTCTATCCCAGCCAAAATCAGGACAACTGCAGCACATGAAGGGGTACCCACACTGAAGCATCTTAGGAAGAATGCATCCTATGGGAAGGACTTGCATCGGAGAAAGTTTGTGGAGGACTGTCTCCTGTGAGAGGGACGCCATGCTGGAGCAAGAGAAGAATGTGAGGAGTACCCTGCCTGAGAAGGAAGGGAGCAGTGGACTGACTGTAACCCCATTCCTTACCCCCTGCACTGCTGTGGGGAAGGAGGTAGAGAAATCAGGAGCAAAGCTGAGCCTGGGAAGAAGAGAGGGGTGGGGAAGGTGTTTTAAGATGTGGTAATGCTTCTCACTGTCCTAGTCTGTTAAGTGGTGGTGGCATTTGGGTTAAAGTGATCTTTTTTTCTTGCCCTAACAAGTCTGTCTTTTGCCCATGACAGGAATGGGTCACTCATGCCTCCCTGTCCTTATCTCAATTCCCAAGCATTTTTCTTTATTTTCTCCTTCCCATTCCTGAGGGGAAAATAGTGAGTGGGTGGCTCTGTGGTGCTCAGCTGCCCTCTGGGCTCAAACCATGACATGGCTGTTCACTTCAGAACAACTGCCTGCTGAATAGGCTACCATAATTGCAGATCCTCTCTCACCTCAGATAACTTAAGTCTTCTGTTCTTGGGCATCTTACTAAATGGGGACAAGTTTGTCTCACTCTGATGCAGTTTTATGAAATCAGTTGATACCTGACTGAATTTGGTATCCACAGCAGCATGCCATCCAGAAGTTAGGTTTTAGATTGTGGAAGAACTGATGGATGGGGTAATACTAATAAATCCACCACTGGCAGAGTTATGGAGTGTTTGGCCATCTTAGAAGCCTGAAGATGTCCTGTAACCTTACACAAGAACCAAGCATTTTCTTTAGCTGCAGATTGGAAATAATGTATTTTGAGTCTGTCACTGGGGTATCAGGTTATCTTTAGTAATATTGCAAGAGGCCCTCACTTTTTCTTGCTAGTTTCATCTCTTGCATCCATCTTAGTCAAGAAAAATAAAAGTTTGGGTCAAGAACATTGACAGCACTCAATCTTGATGATCCAAGTCTCTCTGTTACTGAGTATTTTGCATATCAGTATAATCTGAGTGATACGAAAATTGGTGACAGACTTATTTGCATGAAAGGGTGCTGTGTCCAGAAAATAAGTAGCATCTCCACTACAGTATTTACTGGCAAACAAGGCAAAGTATCCTCTTCTGTGTAAGAAGAAATTATCTTTTGAAATGGTGCATTTAGCATCACATTGGCCTGCCAGCAGTTTAGTTTTGTGCTTCTCTGAATAATCTGGGAGATGGGCTCAGCCATGTTACTGTGGAGAACTAAAATGGAAGATCCAAGATATGCACATATCTTCTAGGATTGAAGGTCTTCGAGCAACATCTACAAGCAAGGAAATGCTTGCTCTTGCCTAGTAAATACATTCTTAATTCCCATATAAGGCTTCTTTTCTCTAACTTTTTTTCTTCATCGTTATTCATATGATAAAATGGAACATATACCTTGTGGTTTTTTCACTGTCAGTGTTTCCAGAGTAGTTTAGACTTGAGGGCCTGTTCAGTCTATTGCTGAATTACAGTCTGCTCAGTCCATACCTCTAAAATTTACTAAGTATCTGCTAACAGTCTACTTAGTGCTAAGGAAATGATCCCCCATGGGGCAGGAGTTTAGTTGTTATAATTTTGATAGAATAGTGTTTTGGGCTGTTAGGAATCTGGTTTTGTGACATCTTTCAATTAAAGGGTCTTCCCTGGTAGCTCTCCTGATGCATGCTAGAAGAATGTGAGTATTCCTTTCTGACAGGGTTTTCCTGCCTGAAGTTGTGTGTGATTTATGTTTGCAGGAAAGTAAACTTTTTTCCCATCTCCTATTTCCCTATGGTCAAACTGTAGGTCTAGCAGGGCTGGTGGGTTCTATATTAATAGATTCTTTGGCTAATCTTGTTTATTTGCTTCCACCAGAAAAAAACCCAGTAGGAACACCCAAGCTGTACTAGTAATAGACAAGGCCTGTTAGTGCTGCAGGAGAGGTTCCTCTCCCAAAGTATCCATGACCACGGCAGATTAGTTCAGCAATTGGTCAGTCTTTCTTTAATGTTAGTGAGGGAGTTTGTCAGGCATTTGTAGAGTGACTACTTGACACTCCTGCCACTGTTCTGTCAGGTAGCTTGTGAGAATGATGAGACACTTAGCCGAACACTACTGTGGTCATTATCCTTTGCAAAGATATTTGAGACCCAACTTGGGACCAAGAGTGAAGGGACAGAGGATCTGAGGAGAGCTGCTTGGAACCACCCTCAATACGTGTGTGCATATATGCAAGCACTCAGAAAGATAAGTTACATCTTGAACCACAGCTGGAGTGTTAATTGTGTGTAGATTTACCACCCAGCTTCCTTGCTGCTCTCTTAAAAGATTTTTCATTATCATCATTTAGAACAGTTATACTTCTGCCTTTTATGCCTGTGTGAAAGTGGAGGGGTTGAGTCTACTCTCAAAGTACTGCTAAATGAAAAAGCTTAAACTTTGTGTTTGTGCTATGGGTATATATACAATATTGACATTGGACTAAAAGGACTGTGGTTACTGTGTAGCAACCATTCTTTCTCAGTATCCTTTCACAGTATGTTTTGTTTGAGCTACTAAGTATTTTTAGAGTTAGCTAATTGGGTCATATTTCTGCTCAAATGACTGATGTGTGTCAAGCTGCAATAATACAGGCTCAGCTCATAAACAATAAGTACCCTGCTGTTGTAAGGAAGCTGTTTTTTGGTTTTTTTTTTGACAGGGAACTGCAGCAAAAGCTCTGAATTAATGACAGTTTCATGGGATTATGTCAATCAGGAAAATGTGCCCCAATTTGCTGAATTCTGTGTTGATATATATCTAACTGTAGTTGACTTAAAAAGAAATCTTTTCCCTTTTGTTGCATTTCCTCACCCTTCTGAGTTGTAGTAAATGTTTTTAGAAAATTACCACCAAGTGAGGAAGGTTCTTTAATTGTTATGTAGCTTCATTGATGGTTCCTGCTCTTTTCTTTGAAGGTAATGATCACATCTGCCATTCTTCAGATAAATGTTTGTATTCCACACATTCTCATGATCTCTTGTCTTTGCTTAATAATTTAAATAATAGTGACTCCCTGTCCCTATGAAGTTCTGTGCGAAGCAATTAAAAGCAAAGAGTTAGATGTGTTAAAATTTCTTGTAAAAATTTTTTTTTGTACCTTTGAAGCTACTTTGGTGGAATGCTCTATTACAGCACCTGGGTAGATAAGCTGAAGTCTTTAATCTCAGTTTTCCCATTTGATGTTACCTGATGATGTCTCTTCTTGTGAAAAACAACAAAAAAATCCACCAAGAAATCCCCCAAAACAAAACACATAAAAAACCCAACCACCCCCAAACCCAACACTTCCCCCCCAAAACAAACAAACCAACCAACCCCACAACCAAAAAGCCAGCAATAAACCAAAACCAACCCCCAAACAATTCTTGACTTCTTCCTCGTTCAGGCTTTGTTTCAGAGAATATTTCATGCTGCAGGAGCAGTTACAATACCTAGTAAGAAATTGCAATTAATACTGTTTAAAGAAACCATTAGAAAATTATGTTGGTCTTGTAATAATACATCTGAACTAAAGTGTGCCAGAATCCTTTCAATAATTTTTTTAATTATAATATCCTTTATGATACACTGTTAAAAGGGAGAAAATGTGTCTTGAGCATATGCTGAGGTTGTCACATTGATTCCTTTTAATATGGAAATCAGTATTGCTCTTCTCTTCCTATTGATTGTATGCAATGTTTTAAAGTGACTTACTTAAAAACTTATTGTCTCAGAAATATTAACCCTTTATTTGACTGCTTTCTTTCAGAGATGTGGTACTGGGTTTTCCTCTGGGCTCTCTTCTCCTCTCTCTTTGTCCATGGTGCTGTGGGAGTATTAATGTTTGTGATGCTGCAGAGGCATAGGCAGGGGAGGCTGATCTCTGTCATTGTGGTCAGCATTGGATTTCTGGGTTCTATAACTGGAGCAATGATAACCAGTAAGTCTGTCGTCTTTTTTTTTTTTTTATCTAACTTCTAAAAAGAAAAAGCCTTTTCCTTAGTGATTTTTTTGTTTATTAAGGATTTTGCCTTAGTTATATAGCTATCCTGATGATAATGACAGCTGAGTTGCTCTTCTATTGTGTAAAGATAAGACTACTATAAATTGTCAGAGGAGTGCAGAAATAGTCTTACTATTTCATTTCAGAAATGTTGGGTACCAAGCTGTTCAAAAGCTATATGCTCAGCACGTAATACCTTTTTGGGATCAGAAAGAGCGGTCCTGTCCTACCATACCCGTTTCAGATTTTTTTGTCAAAGGCTTCTGATCAAGATCACCTCTTAGTACCGTTAAAGCCACGAGTTTCTTTTGGAAATGAGGTCCTGATTCCTTTGGTTGCAGGGCTGAGTTCCTGCTCGTTTCCTTGGGTCTGCTGGAGGTTTTTAACTTGCACACAGATAGGATGTTGCTCTTTTAAAGAAATAAAGGTGCAATATAGGTAGTGATTTACAGCTAAGAAAGTTGGTTTGTTTCTTTGAAGCAGTTACACTTGGCTCATGGATTTGAAAGAACTTCCCAGTCTTGGCTTGGCCATAATGTTACTTTCTTGTTTATTTGAGGTAGGGAGGAAAGAGGGAGGAAGGCCCTTAGACTATCCCAGCCTCACCCACCCCCACCCCCCAAAAAAAAAAAAAAATTAGGCTGTGCTGTTCCAGGAAAATGCTCTTTTGCAGGGGCATCTATTACAGAGTTTCTTACAGTGTTATTCTGTTATGCCTACCACTTGAGATGAATTTTAGGCATTTTTTATTTCTTGACATTGTATCAACAGGTATGGGGGTAACCATTTTTCTGTAAAAGCAGCATGCTGAAAGGTTCACAGAGCTATAGTTAAAATCTATACTCATTATTAAAACATAGCAGAAAGCAGGGGTATTTTGTGTAGCAAAATGTGGAAGTGTTACACCTGACCAAATATGGCACACAGGTGATGTTGCCAAGAATGTTTTGGTATCAGATACTGTTTTTTTCCATTGTTCCTAACAAATTTCATTATCTGTGTCAGTACTAAAAATATATGCCATAAGATCAGTAGAACACTTAGCCTTTGGCTTTATCATATCTAACTTATAAATAGACTGCAGTGGCTTTCCCAAGCAAATAGGAGCATGGTGAGTTTTCTGTTCAGGCCAGGGTGGGAGGGTGGAAGGTGTGGGGAAGAAATAGTGCATCTTATTTTGACAGGAAAGAAGCTTGTGTTTTGCTCTGTTGTCTGAAACAATGCTGGTGAGGAGTTCTCAACATTAAAATCAATGCACTGAAGGGGGCTTGCGTTAACCTGAGCAAGAAGTTTCTGCCCAAAGACCTTCAAATGTTGACAAAATGGTCTCACTTGAAAGGCCTTTGAGGGTAAGGAACTGTAAATCTAGCAAGCATCACATAGTTTGTAGGCAAGCCTTTCTACCTTTCCTATTTTTTTTTGTGTATGGTCCAGATTATCAGAACAATGGTATCACTTCAGTTTTGGACACATTGATGGATGATTCTTGACAGATTATTTTTTTATTGCTACTGAAAGTCCTTCTTGCCTTGTTGGTTTTCAAGTTAAAAAAAACCAAACAAGTTTCATGAAAAGTGTCATTAAAGCTTTCCTCAAAAGTTTTTTTTAAAATTGCTATATATTTTTCAGCCTAGAATTTCCATCATTTAACACACTGTAGTTTGGTATAACTTTTTCCTAAGGTGAGGTAGAACCAGTTGAGTGCCTTATATTACACGTTATGCTGATTTTTTTTGTCCTGTGATTAAAATGGCAGTGACTCTGTTACAAGGTAAATCATGCATGAGCATTTCTGAAGAACTGAAGATAGGAAATGTGGTGCTGGAATATCCAAGCAGGTTCAGTGTTTCTAAAATGAAAGTACTTTGTGTCTTTTATCTGTGCATAAAGAGGAGCAACACAGTTGTATTTGTGACATCCAATTTTGCAGGTCAAAACATTTAACAAATAAGTTGTTTATGTGTAAGTTTACATGAGAATTTCTCCAAGCTTAGACTGTAGACTTGTTATGCTGTTCCCAAAGGTTTTGCACAGAGCATTTCAACTTTTACTTTCAGGTAATTTTGTTTCTGGAGAGCAGTGGGTTGCTTTATACTGAAACAAATTCTGTGGGGAGCTTCTGAAGACAAATTATGATGATAAAATATTAAGGAGGATTTTTAATGGCTATTGTGCTGTGAAGTGGGATGCAAGTTGAACTCTTTAGTTGTTTGGATATGCCTGGTCCGGTGTTTAATAAATTGAAATAGCAAACTGGCTTCAATTTCCATTTTGTATTTCCAGTCCTTTGCATCATTTGTGTAGGTGAATGAATGCAGTATAGATTATTAAATAATGCAGGTTTAACTTTGCTTGGGTAGATCTTTCAAACTTTCTGGCCTTCTGGGATCTTTTTACCAGTGTATAGAAAAGCAGGAAACCCCTCAGTTTCTAGGCTTTGAAAAGAACTCAATGGTTAAAAGTATTAAAAATTTACTAAATAGCAGTGGATACTGTCCGGAAAAAAAACCCAAAACAAACTACCAACCCCAAAACCAAACCAACCAAGAACATATAAATGTCAGGCAGTTTGAGACAAGTATTTTAGCTGTATGTCATCCAGAAGGGTCTGTTCTTCCTCTTGCCAAGCTCACTCCTTTTTGGTGACATATTCTCATTTCCTTCATTGTCAACCTATTGTAGAATACTTTGGCTTTATGCCAATTGTACTGGGTTACACACACTGCTATTTGATGATTATAAATGCATAATTATCAAACTACCAAATTTATATGTTTTCCAGAATATCTCAGTGTTGTTTCAAGAAGCCAGAAATTTCTGTTATTGATTAACTAATAGCATCAAATTCTGGTATGCCGAATATGGCTGATTTGAATTTGAGAGTTCAATTATGAAAATAATTTTAATGTCAGTACTGGGCTCAGTTGAAAGGTTCTCTTTCAGTTATTGACAACAGATAGTCAAGGAACAAATGGAAAAGCTTATGCAAGGTAGCTGAGTGAAATACCACAAGGCTAGCCTTCTGGTGAGATATTCCTAACAAAATATACTTTACAGAATATGGGCCTTTTTTAAAAAACAAACAAACAAACCACCACACAAACAAAAGAACACAACAATAAAAAAAACCCTCACCTAACAGACTGATTAATAGTGTTTGTGAATACTGTGATGGCCACAATTATTAGTGAATTCTAGTCTTCCTAAAATGTTTGTAAAAATGAGGTGTTACTTTTAAGATGTCAGATGATCCAGATACAGATTGTACTTTGAGAAAATCTGTTGGGATTTACTGTATTTCCATGTCACTAATGGGTTTTTGATCACTTCAGCAGACTATTCCAGTTAATGACTCTGCAAAACCAAGAAAATTCCCAATTTTTTTAACTCTTACCAATTTTATTTTTTTTAATTACTTTTTCAGTTCTTTGAGTCTGGAAAAGCCTCTGTGATATCTGGAAGCATTTAATTATGATTAGATAGTGTCTGAAACCATACATACTGAAGAACTGTAAATTTTGGGCTTTGTTCTTCAGGAAAAATTAATTCATTCTGAAATAAAGGACAATAAACTTAATGTTTGTTCTTTAGGCAAGGAAAGCAAATGCTGTATAGAAGATATTGGTTGAGAAAATAATAAAGAAAAGCTTCATTCTAGGTGAACCTTTGAGGTCTGAATTGAGAAAATTTTTAACCCATGAACACAGCTGTATATAAACCTATATTTTTTCGAATGAACATTTTAGTATTCTTAAAAGGTTCAGAAGTTGTTTGAGCAGGAAAAGTTATTTATTATTAGCGTGTTATTTTTTTGACTGATTGATACATAGATTTACATTTTTCTCAAGCATTTGCTCCAAGACATCACAGCTATACATTTGCTCTGTGACTTTTGTTCTTCAAACACATGTGATAAATTCAGTCTGTGAAAGACAGTACAAGGGAGTTATAATAGTAGTGCCTGGCTTTGTTTACAGTGCAGCATTTTGTTTGTGGTTTATCCTGACTGTTTGATGTTATACTTTAAATGGGAATTTGCACACAACTGCACAAGAAAAACAGTCTCTTAGGTGTTGTAGCTCAAAATCTAATCATATTGGTTAGAAATTTCCTTTCATACATGTTCATGGATAGCAATGCAATACTTTGATCTTTTTCATGTTTTGCTTGATTTGCTAAACAGTTGTTAACAACTTCGTAGTTTAGATCAAAGCTAAACTGACACAATATGACCAGGTTATTCAACTGAAATACTAAATTAAGTTGATAGATGTGTGTTTACAGTTATTTTGCAGACACTAGCAGTTTTACTGTTGTCTTCTCCCTGCCCATACAAGCGTTATTAAACCATGCTTTGAACTTGGTCAATTTTTAGAGCATTTTTTAGCTACATTTTGGAATCAGAAGACAAAAATGTAAAAAAAAAAAAAACATTTGAAGATGTCTACAGGGAAAACAGCAAGAATCAATTTTCTGAAATCAAACTGATGTTGGAAGAGTTAATCTGATTCAATTAGGAAAATAATTCCCGAAGGACCTGCATAACTAGAAAAACACAAGCAAGGCTAATAATTTTATAATGCCATGAAGTAATACAGTGTTTGGTAATGTTCTATAAATAGCTGATACATAGATACACTAAATAATTTGTCATATATTTGATCCTTGGCTTTTTCTGTGATTTGATCATTGTTTTTCTTGTGATTCTTAGGTGCTGCGGTAGCTGGAATTTACAGAGTAGCAGGAAAGAATATGGCTCCCTTAGAAGCTCTTGTCTTTGGTGTTGGACAGACAGTACTGACATTAATTATCTCATTTTCAAGAATTCTTGCAACGCTTTGAGACTTATATAGAAGGGGGGAAAAAACCCTACTAGTTCAAAGAAATCTGAGGAGAAGCTTCCTGAAAGTGGATTCATCAGCTTATGAACTTGAATTCTAGTGCAAGAGAAAGGAAGCTATGTGGAACGTGCACTACAAATCTAGAGGTTCAGTCAAGTGAGCAGACTGTCCTCTAGCGTCTGAACTGTTGTACTTCTGCACTGCGCCTTATGTGCCTCAGTCGCAGGCAAGGTGCAATCCATGTGTGTGAACTTGAGATAAAGCACCTTGAATAGCTGCCAGTCAGGTTAAAGCTTGGTGATGGGATCGTTGTTCTTAACAGTGTTGTAATAAAACAAAGGGATGCTCCTGGAAATTGCTGTATGTGCCAAACTTGAAGTTAAATTCGTAACTGTTGTCTGGGTAAGCTCTGAAATTGTAATTATAGAAGAAAGCTGTGAACGTACACTCCACTTGAATTCAGGTAAAATAGCAAGATTTCTGTATTAGCAGTATCTCTCTGAATGTTGAATATTCTTATTCAGCATTCAAAACAGCTGTTGGGTCTGTTTCAAAGCCCAGATGAATTTTGATGGGATTTAAGAACCACAGCTTTAGCAACCCTTATGTAATTAGCACTATGTGTAGAATGGCTCATGGCAGTTTTGTGAAGCTCAGCATATAATTTTATCCTGGTTTTAGCTTGTCAGAAATCAGTAGTTTAAGGAGACTGTATGAGGGTTACTAAGTACAATCTGTGGTGTATGCACGAACAAATCTTAAATTAATGTTTTCCTTGAAATTATTTTGTCTTAAGCATACAGCTGGTTACCAGACCTTCTGAAAACCTCAGAAAGGCTACTTGTTGCAAACAAGCTCCCTATATTTATTTAAGCAAGCTCCCTATATTTATTTAAGCACTGATAGGACTCTTAACCCTACATGTATTCTTTAAAGAACACACAAATGTAACAGACTTTAAGAGCATACACCCATGAAGAAAATGGAAAGGGATGAAAATAGGATGTACTGTTTATCTATAGAACAAAAATGTTAAGTTTAAAATAGTTACTGTACTCCAAAACTTTGGAAGCAGGGCAGCACTAATGTATTTACTACCTTGTTTCTGAACACTTTGTATCTTTGGAAAGATTAAGATACCTGAAACTTTCAACGACTTAGCTTTCAGTAGAGTTTGTGCTTTTCTAGTTTTAAAGGGACAGTAGTGTTGTACATGTGAAATGTCTTAAATGTAAATATTTTGGAGTGAATAGAAATTTCAAGTCTAATTACGAATTATATATGAAATGCAAAATTTAAAGGGCACAAAGTTCTATGTGAGGAATAAGGAATCTTTTAAATCTTTTCTCAACTGAATGCTTTTCAGCAGCCAGTTTTTAATGCTGACAGGAAGAGTAAATTACTCGAAGGTTTTGCTGTTCAGATGTCAAAAAGACTTTCAGGACTGTTGAAACCACTGGCACCTACTGCACAACTGAAAGAGTATGGTTAAAATATAATTTACAATCCAGTCATATTCCTTTTATAAGTATTAGAATGAATTAACCTGTATGCCTTTATTTTACTCCACATAAACTGTTGTTTGGTTTTTTTGAAGTGCTAAGAATGCTAATATTTATTTTCTTTAAAAGTATTTAAGTCTTGTTTGGAAAATGTACAAAGCTGCAGTCTTTGCAGGGAACAAGATAAAATATAGGTTTATGAACCTTTTCAGTGTTATATTTTTGGATTTGAATTGCTTTAAAATGTGGCTGAATGCATATATTCTCATTATTTTTGAATGTCTTTCAAAAACATTTATTTTTCATGGTTTGGGTTTTTTTATCTTGTGGCTTTGTCATTCTGCTGATACTTTCTAACGGAACAATCATTGCACTTTAGACAATGAAATTACTACATCTGTAAAAGGCAATTTAAACCTCCCATTTTCTTAAATTATGAGAACTGGTTTCAGGTACTTAAGTCAAATTGAATAATAAAATAATTGAAGATATTTCTCCTAATGTGCCTTGTTACATATATTTTTAAGGGAGAGGATTTCTTTTTTAAAAATTTCCATATCTTCATGCTCATCCTATTTTTACTATTTCTAATTAATTTGGTTATTTGATATAATGTCTTACTCAACAGACATTAAAACATTTCTGTTTGACAACCTGGAAATCCTTGTCTGGATCAAAACCAACCGTTTCATGAAGCACTGTACTCAGTAATTTAGATTGTGTCATGGCTTTACCTCACACTGAAACTTCTTTCCAAATTTCTCCAAATTTCCTTTAGCATCTCCCTTGTTATTTATTGTACAAGGCTATTATGCTACCACTGATCAATGGCTTGCAGTCTTTCACTAAGCTAAACTATAACAGGCTAATACTAACTTAATGATTAATTTCATTCTTTATTTTAATTGCAGTGCCAATGAAATTGTTGCTGTTCTAACTTTCCTTCTTTGACCAGGAGGCATCTTTGCAGATGTTAAGTTACCTTCCTCCAAATAATTTTTACTGCATGGATCACTGTAATCACTTTTAAAACATTGTTAGGTGCTTAGTTGTCTCTGCTTTATATGGCATTATTGCCTGGCAACAATAAATGCCGAAGTGGCTTTACAGAGACAAAGTTACGTATTTGATAGAAAATTGTTTTTAAGTATTTCTTGTGAGGAATAGATGAAGACAAATAGTTTATCTATGAAGTATTCTTTGATCATAGCGTGAACTTACTGCAGAAGTTCATAACTCCAGCAGTTAGAGGAAGTGTAAGTGTCCTTATGTCTGTGAAACTTCAAAGTTTCATTCCACATCCTTAGAAACAACATTGTTAAACATAAGGTGCTCTAGTCAGTGCAAGTCAGTGCAGTATATGCACATATATGTGTGTGTATATATATATGAATGATGGTTTTGGGGTGTGTTCTATACCTTGCACATACTAACAATTAAAATAACTTTCCTAAAAAGAAGAAAATTACTTCAGGTAATCCCCCCCCCCCCC